TATTAATAAATTGTTAAGTAATAAACGTCGAAATCAGCTATAATTTCAAATGATCAGTAAATGATCGGCAAGTGGTCGGATATTTTTTGGAGGGGAGTGTACATTTCTGCCAAGCCAATTTGTAATTTTTCAAAAATGAAAATATCCAATTATCAGATATTTTAAAACTATCTGCTACTATTGGTATTGGTATAGTTGATGATGCTGCTATTGCTGCTGCTATTGCTAGTGTTGTTACTGATTTTACATTATCCTTTTTTAAAATCTCTAGCATTTTAACTTTCACAATTGCATAAGTTACTGCTTACCCTTGTTTTCTTTGCTCAATTATCCACTCATACATATAAAATAAAAAAAATTTTTTTTTGGTATTAGTTTTACTCGAACTCAGTATTCGAGAGTTTAATGGTCAAGTGCTTTATACTGCTATACTATAGCAGCATCGACATGATTTTTAATATAAATCTCAAATATTATGATGATTATGATGATCACCTGATCAATTAAAAAATATTATATTAACATCATTATATAAAAAATTAATATAAAAAAAAGCTATTTTGTCTGGTGAATCTTCTGAAAAGACTTAAGATATTCTTTACTCGATATCACTGCTTTATCTCTGATTATTAAAACTACTGGCGGTATCATGATACCGCTTATAAATGTAATACTACAGTTCCTATTAAGAAATCTAAAATTATTTTAACAGATTTGAAATCAATTGGAAATGCTTATTTGAATTTATAAAGGTAAACGTACTTATACTAAGGATAACAATTTTCTTGAAGAATTCAAATTGTCTGAAATTCATACAGCACTAAAGGGAGTTTTACAAATTGAAGATACCTTTGATATTGATGCAAATGGTATCTTAAACGTATTAGAAATTCAACTTTTATTATCGTTATTGTTACCATTTTCATGACATGATAGTCTTTTAACATTAATTAATTGTAAGTATCCACTGCTGATAATACAACTGAAATATTGATAAAGGTTGAATGTTAAAAGAAGAAATCAAACATATGAGCATAAGTTGAGAAATATCATGAAGACAATAAGAAAATTGCGCAAAATATACAGGCACAAAATCATTTGGAAAGTTATGCTTATAACTTACATAATATATATTCACGTAAGCATTTGATAATCATATATTATTGAATGGGGCTATATCAGTCTTCAACTGATATTTTAACATCCCGTTCAATAATATACAATTATCAACCATAACTATTCTATTTGCTATTCTAATTATAACCTCTAGATGATCAATTAAATTATTGATAATCTTTGCTAACAATTTTTTTTAAGAGCAATAAGTCATAAGTTTGTATTTCATTTTAATATCTTAATATGAATATGGTTACCTTAAATAATTTCTTTTTTTTTATTTTTAAAAAATGTAATAATTTCATTAGAAGCAACTAACATAAAATTATACATGCATTTATAAAAAATTTGTCATATATTGCATAATACATTATGAAGTAAAGTTTTTTTTTTACCCTTTTTAGAATTGTGTAAAACTTATTTTAAGAAAGGATTTTAGGCCAACTGATCAACTATAAAGATAGACGAAATTTTTTCTACTTTTAAATTTCTTTTATTAAACTCAACAATCATGTCAAAAGCAGAAACAAAAAATGACGAATGCTTATATATTTCAGAAATAATTAATTCAACAGATAATATTAATGTTTAAATTAATAAATTATTCATACTTTTGAATAAAATGCTACCTTTAAAATTTAAAAAATGAAGCTATTTATTAATAATTGCATTGTTCTTACTACTCAAGCAACCAATGATATATATAACTGGCTTAAAAAAAAATCAAAATGAACTAAAAAATGTTTTTTTTTCTTTGAGTTAATTCTTATTACAATATACTTTATTTAAAAGAAAATAATGGTGAAGGATTTATTAGTTTCTTAAAGGCAGCAGATAATTTTCCTATTACATAATTATATTTAGGTTTATGCTATTATGAAGGATTTGAAACTGCAATCGATAAAAATTTTGTATTTTTTTGGTATCAAAAAGCTGCTGAAAATGAAATTAATTCTGCAATGAATAGTTTATAAATATATTATAGAAATGGTGAAGAAACAAAAAAGAACTTAGAAATGGTTTTTTATTGGTATCAAAAAGCTGTTGAAAATGAAGAAGAATATGCAATGGAGAATTTAACAACATGTTATAAAAATGGTAAAGGAACAGAAAATAACTTAGAAAAAACTTTTATTGGTATCAAAAAGCTGCTGAAAATGAAATTAATTTTGCAATAAATAGTTTAACAATATGTTATAGAAATGGTGAAGAAACAGAAAGAACTTGAAAAAAGCATTTTATTGGTATCAAAAAGCTGCAAAAAATGAAAATTTATTGCAAGATTCTTATATCAAAGAAGATATTAAAAAATTACATCAATTGAATATATAAATAATCTGAAAAATGATAATTATAATATATATAATATTTGTTTTAAAAAAAGAAAACCTTTGAAATATTATTACAAAATTTGTATTTTTTGTTATCAATCTAAATTATTATATATACTAAGTGAAAATAAAATTATTGATGAATTATTAAATATACACAGATTAATTTTATTCAAGAATCTAGTAGAATGTTATTTATTCCTTTTAATCAATTTCAAAATATTGATATAATTGGTGAAGGAGGATTTAGTAAAGTTTATAAAGCTATTTAGATTAATGTGTTACCATATTGGAATAAAGAAAAGGAAAATTTTAAATATAATGATCTTAATATAATAGTTGCTTTAAAACAACTTAATAATTCTAAAAATATTACTATAAAAATTAAATGAGGTATAGTATTTTAATTTAATTTAGTAATTTATAAAAAATTCTATAATAATATTCTTTGTAAATTTAGCTTTTGATAATATATAATGCTAACTTAAATGATGGATTTATTTCTTCTTTACTTAATTTAAATAGATATTATAGAATTTCTAAAATTCTAAAACAAAAGATTTTGTAATTGTTATAAAATATTATAAATATGATTTAAATAATTATTTAATCAAAATCTTTAATATTATTAAATGGGATAAGAAATTAAAAATATTAAAAAGTATTAGCTACGTGCTTTATAATACTCATAATCAATAAATTATTCATCAAGATTTTTATAGTAGAAATATTCTTTACAATAATGAATATGATGTGGTAATAAGTAATTTAAGAATTAGTAAATTATCAACTGAATTATCAGTCAATAAAAATCAGTATTGTGGAATTATTCCTTACACTAGTCAAATTATGAGAAATCAGGTTATAGCAAATAATACAAATATCAGAAATATATCAGAATTCGGTATAATACTAATAGATAATTTCAGCAATCATACAGATATCAGTAGTCAACATGTTACTGATATTTTATTAATTATATATTGATTTCTCAAAAGTAGCATCATTAAAATATTTGTAAATTTTAATTAAGTTATCAGTAATCCTATTGCTTAATGATATTTATAATTTAGTATTCTGATTTTTTAAATGAAGTACTGGTAAAATATAAAATCCTGATATCTTACTAGTTAGACAATAATTAAAGTATCATTGACCTATTGGATTATTAGATAAATATATCAAATATATAACTTAGTTAACACTAGAAATCTTTTATATATATCTATAATCAAGCAAGTTCAGATTGATATTTGTAAATTAATTTTTATATATGAATTTTTCTGTTGATAGAAATAACTGACATATATTCTTTTGGTGTTTTTTTGCCAATTTTTATCGTTCCAGAAATAAAATATCCTAAAATGTTATGTATTGGTATGATACAATCACAACTTAATTTATAAAACCCTTTTTTTCATAATTCAATATTACAAATATTTACCCTGTCTTCATTTGTTTAACAATGAAATCTGCTTCTTTGATCATCTACTGCTCTATACCATCTAATAAAGGCCAAAGAATGTGTCACTGACCCTTTTTCTGGTAAACCTATTGAATATTCAAAAAAGAATTGAACCTGGTCAGGATAGATATCGATTGTATTATCATCTAAAATAAATCACGATAGTATATTTGCTAACTCAATATATCTTATTGAAAGTTTTGAATTAATTACTTCAGTTCTGAATCTTAGTCTAGCAAATTGGTTTATTCTTGATAAAACTACAATTGACTCTTCTGATAAGTTATGAATATTTGATAAGCTTACAAAAGAATATCCATATATATTATGATAATATTTGATTAATAATACTAGAATTTCTTGTGATAAACTTATATTTTTTTTCAAAAAACTCTCATGGAAAAGGTTCTGATCCCATCCTTACCTTTTCTTTTACATTCTTCGATATTGCCAAAAATTCTAAATAATTCACTAGATCAAAATCTTCATTAGCTGCAAGACTACTGACTGTTTCTTTAGGTGTGATATAAGTTAAACATTCTGAAAGATATTTGATTTTCATTGACGTGTAATGATAATTCATCAAGAGCAGAATAATTTTGAAGGATTCTAAGTAATTCTGGTTCAATATTTCGATTACTATTATGTAAAAAACCTGTAAAAAAATAAATAAATAAATATCAGAAATATTATAGATAAATTAGACATTTTAATTAAAATTAGATTACCTAATAGCCCATTCATTCATTCAAAACTATAACACCAAAAGGAATACAATAGACTATAGTCAAATGTATACTCGCATATATGTAAGCACAGATGCATATTTAGAGAAATCTTTTATGGCCCATAATATTATTCGATAAGTTTTACTATAGATAAAAGACATTCATGTGCTTCTTTTAATCCTGACTCGAAAATAATTTAACATACAAGAATGTTACATGCTCGTACAAAATAGCTTAATATTTTTCTGTCCACTCCTTGAAGTAAATCCCAGGTAATTATGGTGGTATATATGAGAAAAAATGTCTTCTATTAGTCAGCAGTAAATCTCAAGAAACCTTTTCTTATCATTATTTTATTCAGAATTCTACCGATATCTGATGGTACCTTTAACTTATTAGCTCATTTTTCATCATTTCTAAATTTTTCAGCATTAATCGGCCTTCTTCAATTCATAAACGTATTACGATCCATTTGGAAATACCTAGAAATAGGTAGTGTATTAGATCCACTATAAGAAACTGTACAGGATCAAAGTATTGTAAGCGATATATCTCAGACTATCTTACCAATCTTTCTGATACGTGCTTCCGGCATTGATCCTCCATTTTGCAATCCTTCCATGAATTAGCATTATCTCATAATTCTTTGACATCTCTTTGTATAAACCATTCTTCCATATCATCAAATCCACCAAAATTTGTATGATATTTACTTTCTATATTGGCCCTCTTTTTGCATCTATGACATGCAATTTTAGCTGATATTTACCCGCAAAGCTTTCTAGCTGCAGGTATGTTATACACACAACATATAACTGCCACTCGTATATTTTTACTTGTAAGGCTTTCATAAGTACTAGATAATTTGACTCCTTCTCATAATTTAATCAACTGATCGATTATAGGTGCCAAGTAATGATTAAAGAGATGTAGCCTTGGCTCTTTAGAATCAGGAAATACAGCCAAAGTGATTATATTAGAAGTCTTGAACTTTTCACTTCGTGGAAGGTTGCATATTATTCCATATATGACTCCTATACTATATTATAAATTATCGAAAGGTTGAAACCAATCAAGGTTCAACATAATTTCGATATTACTATCTGCAATTTCATGTTGAAAAACAATGAATTATTACTTGGATCTTTAAACGTTTTTCAAATCCTCCCATCATATATATCTGTTAATTCTTGACCATTACGTCATACTATCCACTTTCTACATAATTCTTCAAAACCTTTTTTATTATATAATTTATATAACTGATGTTTAATGTCGATAATTGGAA